CAGAATGACTCTTCTAAATGGGAAGGGAAAAAAATAAGGCAGCTCACTCTGAATGAAGCCTTCCCTTCTACTGTAGGAATAATGTGAGGTGTGGGTATGACAAAATACTTTAGCATTATTCCCATTCCATTGCTTAAGAGTAGTATAAAAACGTTGAGATAACTGAGGACAACAGTAATGCCTTGTACAAACACAGATGTGACCAGCATGTTTCAACAAATCACAGAAAACTATGCTCATACGAAACAGAACTATTACGGAATAAAATTATTGAAGTTTTCAGAATTTAAATTCTGAGTTTAAACGATCAACCTGAGTGCTACTAAAAGCAAATGTGACACTCTAATGAGGGAATGCCAATATCAATGCAGCATTATTTATAATTAAAAAAAGCTACAAAGATCCCAATCGTCTGACAATAGGGACTGCTGAAGAAAATTAAACTCTGCTCATATAAGAAAATCATACCCTGCTATTAAAAAGAATGACATTTCAATGTTCAGCATATATGATGCCCATAATAGATTACTAAATTTTAAAAAAAAGATTACTTTGAAAACATTATGCTAAGTGAAAGAAGCCAGAAACAAAAGGACACATTTTATGCTTCTATTTATATAAATGTTCAAAATAAGCAAATCCAGAGACAGAAAATAATTAGCGGTTGGTAGGGTAGAGTAGCTGGAGAATTGAAAGGCATGTTTTCTTTTTGGGGTGATGGAAATATTCTGAAATTGGGTGATGATGATGGTTGTACAACATTGTGAATACACTAAAACCACTAAATTGTACACTTTAAAATAGTTAAAATGGTGAATTTCATGTTATACGAATTTTACCTTAGTAAAATTGTTTTGAAAAAAAGAGGCATGTGCATGAATATCATATGTGTACACAAGCCACTGGGGGCAGGGGAGAGGAAGAGGGCACCTGTGTGGATGGCCTGATAAAACGCACACCAGTCTATTTGAAGGGCGTTATGCGGGGAGAGAAACCTGGGGGGAGGGCAATTTCACTTTCTTGGTACTGCGCCTTTTCCCTCTAGGCAAAAGTACTATATTGTTTTCTCCTCTATTAAAATCCATCCTAAAACCCTTCTCTTCTCTTGAACTCTAAATAAAATACTGATGTTCTAGTAGTTTGCGCTCCCATTCTCCCTCAGGCTTTTTTAAAAAAATTGACATATAACTTACATACCATAAAATCTACCCATTTTAAGTGTACACTTGAATGATTTTAGTAAGCATATAGTTGTGTAACCATCATCACTGAGAAAGTTCCTTCCTGCTCATTTGCAGTCAATCCCACTTCTACCTCTGAGCAAGCAATCTGTTGTCTCTATAGATTTGTCTTTTCTAGAAATTCATACGAAAGGAATCATATATGTGGTTTTCTGTATCTGTTTTTCTTTTTTATTTAGCATAATGTTTTACAAGGGTCATCCACCTTGACACCTCTTATCAATAATTCATTCCTTTTTATTGCTGTAGAGATATTACTTTTACCACAACGATGGTGTGTAATTGGAAAAGGAAGTAAAGACATTCCCATTTTGAAAATGAAAACATAAAACAACAGGGCTTTTAGGACCACTGATTGCCTCAAGATTCTACCAAGTTCTACAATATAATCAAAGATCACAAAGCTGAAAATTAAGCAATTGTGTCATTAAATTTTACAAAGACATTTGTTTGAACTACATTTACCTGGGAGAAAATGAAATAACCATATGCTTTCTCTACTTTTAGGAGAATCAGAGTAAGCCAAGTAGGTATAAATTTACAAGCATCTTAAATGTTTCTACTGAGTACTTCATTTGTTTTCTCATTTTTCAAAATTCCTTTTGTGCCGCAAGTGTTTAAAAGCTATTTAAAACACCTTAATGCATAATTAATCACCCTGCAAGCTATCAGCAGATTTAGTGGTAGTTTCAGAAGTAAACCAGATTTACACATGCAAGGTAAGCCTAATTGGCTAAGCTCACAAAAAACACAATATCCGATTTTTAGAACCTAATGTGCTCAAGAAAGTATTTGTGCTTTTAAATTAGGAGAACAGCTCTGTATTTAATTAGTCCTTATTTGAGTATGTAATCATTTTAATTTATTTGCAAACACAGGACATTGTGCTCCATAGCAGATAATGTTCTTCATTAACTAGAGTAGGAACTTTGTGCACAGTGGTAGAAGAAATATTTCTACCTGTGATGAAAAAATCAGAACTGCACACTATCAGACTTCGTTCTTCAGGTTTTATGGTCACCATTCTGCAGGCTTTCTTTAGGCTGTTTGAAAGCGAACACTCTATGCTTGACAGATCATTCTTATCTATTCATTAAAGCACATGAACCAATTCTTCCCTAGGGCATTTCCAATAAACCTTGAAATCTTGTTATTGCCACTCCTTCCCCCAAATCCTAACTATATCCTAAAAAGAAAAAAGCAGCTCTCATTAACTACTATAACTATCTTTGAAAAGGTAATTATGTTTTTGCTTGATTCTAAATGTTTCATTCTTAATGTTCTTATTTTGAAATAAGCATATCATTAGATACAAGTAAATTGCTTGAGAAATAATTTAAGCTTTCATTTCCAAGTAAATGGAATTTATGAAAATTGACATCATTTGGTAACCAGTAGTTGGAATGTGACATGACATCCCAAAATGAATCAGTGGATAGTTAGTGAGGATAGCTTTAAGTTGGGCATTATTTGGGTAGGAAGCTTGCTCTAGCTAGTGTTTTAAAGTAAGGCCAGTGCTATTCTGGGTGAAGTATTCTTCATGCTATAATCTGTACCATGCTATATTTTTTGGAAAAATTTGGCACTACTTGATGAAAGACTAAACACTTTGTCATACATTTTTCTTCTTCAACAGGACAAGTTAAGCAAATTGTCTGAGTCATTACATTAGATCTGCTCTATATGACAACAGGCAGGTCTCCAAATGTGGTCGTGATTTCCCACAATTCTCCAAGATTGGGTGAGAGTATCCTATAGGATAAGATTCTAATTTATGCAGTTCTTTTTGCCCAGAGTTCTAAATTCTTCCATTTCTATGGGGGAAAAAAGTGTATAATTTCAGAAAGGGAAGACTCCTTTTTTGTAGGTAATGAGTATTACAAACATAATTGCATAATTTAACCTTAGAGACAATTGGCCTTACTTAGCTTTGGAGTATATTTGAGTTGAGCAATACCTCTTAAGGTTAAAAATACATACTTGCAATAAATGCCCAGTTCTTAAATACTACCCCAAATCATATCATTAGATACATTTAAAAACATTTTCTTTGGGGCTGGGCCCATGGGCAAGCAGGTAAGTTTGCACACTCCCCTTTGGCAGACCAGGGTTTTGCCGGTTTAGATCCTAGGTGTGGACATGGTACTGCTCATCAGGTCATGCTGAGGTGGCGTCCCACGTGCCACAACTGGAAGGACCCACAACTAAAATATACAACTACGTACTGGGGGCTTTGGGGAGAAGAAGAAGAAGAAAAAAAGATGGGCAACAGATGTTAGCTCAGGTGCCAATCTTAAAAAAAAAAAAATTCTCTTTGATTGGATGGCCAGTATCTGAGGATAGTTAAAATTTTAAGACATATAGAATTTTGCATTATCTGCTTTACTCTATCTGGAGAAAGACCACCTCTTTCTACAGGCCTAGTTATATAGCTCTTGAAAACACTCATTGGCAAGCATGATATTATAGCAAAGTCATAAAGTATACATTTACACTATATGTAAAATCAACTACATGTTCTTGACATATATACATGTGTAAATAACATACTAGACTGAGTGAGTGAACCTGCAAACTCCACTTAAAGTGAATTTCAGTTACTCAGTGAGAACCACTGGCTGAGCTTTTAGCTATGCTAAGAGTGCCTCTAGTATTTAAAAGTACATGTAAGTTTTGGGTATAAAATGGGTCCTAAAAGCAAGCCAGATATTCTACTTCGTATTTAACTGAAGAAACAAAAGTCTATTTTAAGGCTCGAGAAAAAAAGTCACCACATAGTACTTTTTGAGACACAGCATATTAGTTCTTAAAGTATGCATAAATATGGCTACAGATACAGTATCTGTTTTTGCTGAGGAAGGTTCGCCCTGAGCTAACATCTGTTGCCAATCCTCTTTTTTTGCTTGAGGAAGTTCAGCCCTGAACTTCATCTGTGCCAATCTTCCTCTACTTTGTATGTAGGTGATTGCCACAGCATGGCTGACAAGTGGTTATGTCTGTGCCTGGGATGCAAACCCAGGCCACCAAAGCAGAGCACACTGAACCTAACCAGCAGGCCACAGGGCTGGCCCCCAAATACTGCATTTTTGATTTAAGAGTTTTATAAGGGAAATTTTGGCTATACATTACCCTTCATGTAACCAAGCAAGTTCTAGAACTAAACTCTTGCGTTAAATTTAACTCCACTGTATAGCTGTTTTGAGAAGAATAATATAAAATGGTTTCGCACCTAATCATCTGAGTCAAATAAAAGACAACCAACAAAAATCTCCACAACATTGATTTGAAGTGAAAATCATTTTCTCGGGGGTGAGAGAGGCAAAAACTAAAGAAAACTTGATTCATTTGGGGAATTTGGCTGAAGATTAAGTCTTAAGTCTAACCAACAGTGGAAGAATTTAATTTCCAAAGCATCATCTACCCTGTTCATGAGGAAGAAGTGGGTATTAACAGAAGTCACTCCTTACATGTGCCTTAAGAAGAAGTGTGGAGACTTATAAATTGAACTGAAAAAGGCAAGAAACATACTATCCAAGGATTACAATAAAAAATATTATTCTAAAACAGTTTCATAAGTTTGAAAACCCAGCCCCAAACTAATTATTAGTGAGTGTATTCCTCCAGAAAATTACATATTAATAAAGAAAAACATATTTGTGTGACTCCAGAGATTAGTGATCATATTCTTATAAGAAATATGTTTTATCTTAATCTCCCTTTATGATTGAAAACTAGCTCTAAAAAAGAGCCATTCATGTGTCAGCTTGGCATTTCTTTTTATTTAGTCTGAAAGTTTTGTTTTTACAAAAAGGCAACATTTTCTTCCCCATATGGCATCTTTCTCATAAACGTGAGCTTTGTCCAGAATCATCGGCCATTTCTCCAGAAAAAGCCAATGATCAATATAAAAGATACAGTATTTTCTTACAGTTTCTTTGGCAAGAGAGCATGACAATATAAACCAAATAAACTTAATACAAAGAAATAATGTTGTAACTCAAAATAAATTGCTTGTTTAATCTCTGTTTTCCTGATTCTATACTAGATGACTTCTATTCTTAAAGCTTAAAATAAATTGGGATACAAGGCAAAATCAGATCCTAGTTAAAGAAAAGGGGACACTGAGGGGGCTGGCCAGGTGGCACAGCAGTTAAATGTGCACGTTCCGCTTCAATGGCCTGGGGTTTGCCACTTCGGATCCCGGGTGCAGACCTATGCACTGCTTGTCAAGCCATGCTGTGGCAGGTGTTCCACATATAAAGTGGAGGAAGATGGGTGCAGATGTTAGCTCAGGGTCAGTTTTCCTCAGCAAAATGAGGAGGATTGATGGCAGATGTTAGCTCAGGGCTAATCTTCCTCAAAAAAAGAAAAAAAAAATAAAGAAAGAAAATGGGACACCGAGAACAGTGCTTTAGCAAAAGTAAACTCAACAACACAGTTTAAATGAATTGGGAAAATTTTAATTAATAAGCATCAAATGCACTTTACATTGATAACTGCAATATTGAAATTGTGACATTTTAAATATTTTTCTCAAAAAAAGGTTAGTGATTTTCTTTTTGCCTGGGAAACATGGAGACCCAACTATGAACATTAATGTGGCCTACCTCGGTCACTATGGTTTAGTTAATGCTAATATCTAAACAGATGTTCACATTTCACGTCTACAATAAGGTAGACTGGGAACTTCTTGAATCGACGAATTTTAGCAAAAATTTCATGAGATAATTTACGGAATGTCAAATTTTTGAAGTGCAAACTCATAAAACTCTAGGTTGGGCTCACTTTTTTGCTTCAAGCACATCTGCCTCGAGAATACAGGGAATTTTTCTTTCCTAATTCCTTGAAAAAGTATTTCTGTAGTACGTCTTGTGTCTTCTTCACTATGAGTGGGTTGTTTTTAAGAAAGATTATCAGCTCTGTGATTAGTTTTCCACAGTTGACAAAAATCTATCAAAAACACCCTAATGTAATTTGCATGGAGAAAAGTTGTTTTCCAAAGGCTGCAGGAACAGGAAAGAAATAGCACTTCTTATTTGTATAAGCACAAACACTTAAAGCTAGTCATATTGCAGGTAAATCCAAGAGAGTATTCAAAAGTTCCATAAAAATGAACAATAGATACACGTTTACTTCCACTGCTCCAACAGTCGAACATTGGATCTGCATGAGAGTTGCACTGTAGCAGTTTCTTGGTCCAATTTAAGAGTTCAGAGTCCTTTTTGTGTATTTTGCCCAACGATGTCCACATCCCAGATAAATTCAGTTCAAAAAACAGAAATTAGGGCAAAGACTCCGTATAGCAAAGCACAAGGATATGCTACTAGAAGTTGCTGTCCTTCCATGGCTAACGCAGAAATAAAAATTTTGGAAGCAGAAAAGCTACACCATCCAATGATTCCAGCAGTGAGAATGATTCCTACCATGCCTCTGTAACGGACAAGAAAAAACAAGGGGAGGGCAAATAAGGCAGTAGATGAGCTTAGTTAGGTAAGAATACTACAATAACCAATTCTAAAGAAAAGCATTTTAAAGCCACATGTAGTCATCTGCAGAAATAATCAAGATTTTTTCCAAATGCTAAAATGTCTCTCTCAGTGAATTCAATGATGCTGAATTATTTCATGTGATAAAAAGCTCATTTATAACTACATTTTTCTCCTGTTAGCATAGGGTTTCTCAGCCTTGGCACCACTGACATTGGGCTGGATGTACTTTTGTCGTGGGGGCTCTTCTGTGCATTGTTAGGATGTTCAGCAGCATCCCTGGCCTCTACCCATAAGATACCAGTAGCACTCGTGTCCCCTACAGTTGCAAAAAGCACAACTGTCTCCAGACGTTGTCAAATGTCCCTGGGAACAAAATTGCCCCTGGAGGGAAAACACTGTTTTAATAGAAAATACCTTCCATAAAATTCAAATATAAATATATTAATCTCAACAAATGAAAAGAATGAAGCAGTTTCTACACTGAAAATATGAAGCATTTTTATCCAGAGCAGGAACACTATGAAGCCATCATCTTGCCAAATCTCTAGCATCAATTAGTTGATAGGCGCTCTTCTCCTAAACCTCCATTTTAACTTACGAGGTATAACAAAGCCCTATTACTGCTTGTGTCCAGCACTAGCCACAAGGAGGAGCTTGAAATGTTGAGAGCATCTGCACACTAGCCACAAGGATTACATCAGTAATCCTACATCTTTCTTTTTAACCTTACCTAAAATATTATTTTATCAGCACTAATTTACATCTTTCTTTTTAATCTTATCTAAAATATTATTTAAAAAATTAGATTTAAAGTTGCTTAAAATACATCTGAGAACATGGTAAGCTTGTAACAGCCTCTTGCCATAAAAAGAATATGTTTCATTTTCAGTTAAAAAGTTGCCAAATAGAGTATGGGTTTACTACCCATTTCCTTAACATATGCTCCACGTCTTTAAGAAATCAGATATAGTCTAAAAAAATACCAGAGTAGGTAAGTATAATTTTAACAACTTGACCTTTTGCATGCAATATTTATATTAACAATCACCACTGTTCAATTCATTCACTGACACTGGTAACTAAACACAAAACTAGGAAATTCTTTATCGTATGTAAAAGTTGAGATGGTATAAAAAGTTTCTAAATTTATTCTCAGTTCCACTGCTCATCATTGAAAAGCAAGCAGCACAGTCCTCACTCACAAGAGGCACAATCCAATGTGCTTGCTGAATCAGTGATTTATCTCAAACTGATGGAGAGGTAAAACCCAATACAGAGAATTGTCAGTCAACCCAAAATGAAGATCAGTACTTACTGCAAAGAAAATATCACTGCAAAGCTGGAGAGTAGGATCATGGGAAGAAGACAATATCCAAGGACACTTGCCACACAACCAAATGAAACACCTGTCATACTCATTAAGTTTAATAAACAAAACATTCCTAGACATCCAATTGCACTGATCCCATATACATAGCCAAACTGGATTTTGCCAGCCTATGGGTAAAGAAAAGATTATAGGTTAAAGGGGAAAAAATAAGTTACTTTTGGCCTTATTTCACCTAAAATGGTACATGTAGAAGATATTCAATTTGTGAGCATCAAAATCTACACAGGTATCTATTCTTTACGCAGAGAAGTAAAACACTGTGCAGACTGGCTTTTACATCTTTCCTAAGTTTCAAGTATCCACCTCCCAATACATAGATATTTCATTTCCTATTTTCCAGTTAGCATGTGCACTTGGCATAGAATTGAACAAATAAAGATATAAAATCATGCTACAATCAACTAAAATAGTAGCTTTCTGAAAAGAAATCTGACTGATTTTAAGCAAATAAACTTGAGACAAGAAGGAAAATCATTCAGAATGTTTGGATAATAGCTAATATCACTTGAGAAACTAGCTAATTCCACCAAAATTGCCTGAAGCAATTTATTCTCATCGGCAGATGTAGCCATAATCTTTTTAACAGCAGAAATAATTTCATCATTCACATTATATGGGTGGTAGAGGAGCTAGGAGAAAGGAAGCCAGATAAACAGGAAGCCAGAGTTCTGTAGGGAGGGGAGGAGAAAAGAAAACTGATTAACAATGAGGCAAGAGGAATATAATGGAAGATATTTTTTTCTTTCATTATTTTTGCAAAGTGTTAGTTGAGTTATACAGTCCTTTGACAAAAGCAGTCCTTCTGCTTTTGTAAAAGACATCACTGAACAGTCTGAGGACTTATGACTAGCTAAATTGGAGTTACAGTACTCTCATCAAGATATGTGCACAAATGTTGTATTCAGGTCACACTATCACTAAAATCAGTCCACAGAGAAGCCTTCAAAAAGTTTCCGGTTGTAAGACTTTTGACATACAAAACTCCATCTTGAGAATGCCTCTGCAGATTATGTTAATATTTATTTCAAAACACTTGATTGAGAGTGCAGGAGTTTGAAAAACCTCAGCTGAGTTTATTGCTGAATTCACTCATGCGGTAGGAATAAAACCCCCTCTGTGTACAGTGCTTTAAACTTTTCAGAGTGTTCTCACATCACCTGTCTTGCTTAATCTCCAAAAAAACCTTGTTAGGTGGGCAGCACAGGCTTATCTATCGGAGGGAGCTGAAGGATTAAATGACTTGCTCAGGGACAGAGTAGGAGCACTGAGTTCACGCCCAGTTTTTCTGACTAAAAATCCCATCTTCTATGCATTACATCATTTATCTCTTCTAATTCAGCAACAGGATAAAAGAAAACAAATACTAACAATTATCTTTACAACTTTTCATAAATTCAAGCAACTCACTACTATTCAAAACACACCAAACACTTGACATATAAGCAGAATCTCAAAAATGGCTCTTGGGGGAATATTTAAAGATTGTTCTTTAATCTCATACTGAGAATTGAAACTAAAACCTTACCAGTAACAAGGTGGCTCCAAAGGCAAGGCAAAACACCATTGGTCCTGCCAAATCAGTCTCATTCATGATGCTGCCATCTGCTACTTTTAATGGATGTAACACTGTTAGTGTTTTTTGCCAGATGTGGTCAAAATTGATACCTAATTCTAAAGGAAAAGAAATTAAGGAAGTCAATTAGGATTTGCGACATCTTTAATTTACCAGAATCTATGCTGGATCAGAAGACAAAATGAGACATCCAGCATCAAGAGGACCTAGCACTACCAGACGACATTATTTTGATGAGTCCTCAATATCAGTCTTCACTGACTGGGGTGCTTATTCAACAAATATCCAATTTCTGGTTTGGTGTTGGAAAAGAGTATGGATACGATGAAATAGACATTCTCAGCTATGACAGCAGAGCAAAGAACATATGGAAAGGGTTCATAGTAAAGCGTTCTTTCCCTGGGCTTCAGGAATACCTGGAGGCTCCATGAAATTATATACAAAACCATGTCTCTATGTATATGTGTGCATTTTTCTGAGGAGAGTATCCAGTTTTCATTAGACTTTCAAAGGGTATCTGATCCAAAAAAATGTTCAGAGCTACTGCTTTATGGGTTTTGGAATACAATTTGAAAACCACCATACTTTTCAGCAATGTTACCAGTCCTGCCAGCTTATTTCCAGGTAGAATAAGCAATAGCATGCTATTGCCTTTCATTCCTTCCACTGATAGAATTTAATCAGTAATCTGAAGTAAAAATAGACGCATACATATTGACATACTTTATTATTCCTTTACAAAGATTTATTAAAAATATGGTCCCCTCGGGCTCAATGTGGTTTCATTTATACTGTGTTCAAAATGGGTCACTTAGTAGAAAACTTCTCTCTACATTATTCTTTTAGAGGAAAGGAGAACTTCTCCAAATTAAGATTTATTTTCACTGACCAGCTGGATATTACAAAGTACCATAAAGTGTTACGACCAATCCTACCTTCTAATAAAGGTGGCTCATCCTCAAAGTTGTTTCCATAGAATGGCTGAGATGTGGTTGGAGTGTACGTCTGAGTTGGATGGAAAATCTGCCCAGTGTATGGCTGCTGTGGCTGCATCATGTCTGGAGGGACAAATCGGCCTTGCTGCGAGTAGTCATAGCCAGCATACTGTCTATAAATCAAAGGAAGTTGGTTTCTCAGAAGTATTTCAATCCACCAACAGCTGAAATGGGCAGCTAGGGAATCTCAGTCACGCAATTCCTAGGATATCTACTCTGCCAGTTTTTATATATGGTAGCTGAAATGATTACTAAGATCAAGCTGATTATCTACAATGAAAAGTTGTCTATTTTTTTTTTTTTAAGATTTTTTTTATTTTTTCCTTTTTCTCCCCACAGCCCCCCAGTACATAGTTGTATATTCTTCGTTGTGGGTCCTTCTAGTTGTAGCATGTGGGACGCTGCCTCAGCGTGGTTTGATGAGCAGTGCCATGTCCGCGCCCAGGATTCGAACCAACGAAACACTGGGCCGCCTGCAGCGGAGCGCGCGAACTTAACCACTCGGCCACGGGGCCAGCCCCAAAAGTTGTCTATTTTTTATAGAGAATCTTCCTGATGATGCCAACACTCACTTATTCAGCACTTAAGCATTTTACAAACTATTAAACTTTTAAACATCAGGGGATCAACAAATTAAAACTTAAGAATATTGTCTATATTTACCCCTTAGTGAGTATATATAACATAAAGATAGCTGTGAAATAAAATTTATGCCTAAGACTATGAATGAAAGCTTAGAATGACAGACTTTGTACTACACATTATGTAATTTTCCATTGTAATTTGGATCTCCATTGAACGTTAAATCATTCTTCTTTATTCTTTGTAGTATGTTTTTTTGCAAGTGGGTAAATCTCCTTAAGAACCACCATCAATTTCAACCCACAGAGTGGAAGAATCAAGCTTGTCCTTTGTGAAAGCTGTCTGAATACAACAAAACATTATTAGTACACCTTGCATTTAAATAGAGCTTTTAATTTTTCGCAGGAGTTGTACATCTATCGTCTCATTTGATATGTGCTACAGCAAATCCTGCATTTTAGAAGGAGAACACTTACCAAGGCTATTTTAGTGATGATAACAACAGGGAACAAAGGATACTGAAGCAGTATCTTTAAAGACCTGTCTCATCAGATTCTGGAAAAATATGACTATCTATCAGTGGGACTAATGTAATTACATAGTAAGAAATACAGAGCAAAAATAATTATTTTATTTTTATTTATTTTTTTTGGTGAGGAAGATTGTCCCTGAGCTAAGATCTGTTGCCAGCTCTTTTTGCTGGAAAAAGATTGCCCCTGAGCTAACATCTTCCAATTATTTGTATCCTCCTCTATTATTTGTATTATCTTCCTCTATTTTTTGTATGTGGGATGTCGCCACAACATGGCTTGACGAGTGATGTGTGGTCTGTGCCCGGGATCTGAACCCGTGAACCTCAGGCCACTGAAGCAGAGTGCGTAATCTTAACCACTATACCACTGGGCTGGCCCTAAAAATAAAATAATTATTTTAAAAGTAAAATATTTCAAAAAATGAGATCTGAGAAGCCTTAGATAACCTTTAGTCTAATTACATTTTAAAATTTTATAGCTCCCTTTTGATAAATATAAAAATCTAATGATCTCCATTGATATTACTTGAGATTTTAAAGTTAAATCTAATTTTTCAATTAATTGAACATCTTGACTAAAAGTAAAGCAAACTAATGGCGAATTTTTAACTATACATAGCTCTCTGGAGATTCCAGTGGTATTCTGAAGACTTACCACACTAGTACAATCCATTCTTAAAAAAAATACTACTTATTTTTTTGCTATATAATAATATAGAATTCATTACAGCATTATTTTAACATCAAAAGATAGAAAACAAAACAATATAAATAGCTATCAGTAAATATATTGTGATATGGGCACAGATTACTATGCACTTGTTAAAAGGAATGAGGCAGTTTTATGTCTACTGATAAGGAATGATAATCAAGAAATATTCAGGGGCTGGCACAGTGGCGCAGTGGTTAAGTTCCCACGTTCTGCTTCTCGGCGGCCCAGGGTTCGCCAGTTCGATGCCGGGTGCCGACATGGCACCACTTGGCACGCCATGCTGTGGTAGGCGTCCCACATATAAAGTAGAGGAAGATGGGCACGATGTTAGCTCAGGGACAGGCTTCCTCAGCAAAAAGAGGAGGACTGGCAGTAGTTAGCTCAGGGATAATCTGCCCCCCGCCCAACAACAAAAAAAAGAAATATTCAGTGAAGAAGAAAAAAGCCAATGTTCAGAATAGTGTATACCATACGCACCCATCATGGCTGTGCTTTTTAGAATATATCTTTATCTATACATCTACATCTATGTATATGTGTGTGTATTATATATATCTGTATATATAATTATGAAGGTAAAGGGATCTGGAAATGGGAAACAGAAGACAATTTATACACTATAAACTCTTGTACCTTTGCAGCTTTAAAAATGTTGTACAACATTTATTATTTATTGAAATTAATTCTAAATATGCTGTATGTTATAGGTATATACTAAGTACTGAAAATTTCCAAAAACATAAATAACCTTTTTGAATGGTACTGTGTGATGCACTGTTATAAGTGTTTAACGTGAATTATTTCATATTATCCTCACTATAACTCTATGAGGTTGATTTTACCATCCTTTCCATCATAAAAATGTGGAAACTGATATTTGGGTTAAAATGATTTGTCCATAGTGGTGCCAAGATTCAAAACTAGACTTTTTAACCCCAGTGGCCAACTCTTAATAATTCTAAGAAAAATCACCCCAAAATCCTACCTTACAGAGACAGTTATACTATTTTTTTCTGTATATGCATTTCCCCAGTATTTTGGTATGCAAATAGGTTGATTTCTATTTACTTACACACATACACACACAGCCCACAGGGCTAGCTGGCTGAACTAGGACAAGAATTCACATTTTCTGATTTAGTACAATATGCTATTGTGTTGATCTCTGTTAGGATGTATCATTAATCCACCTTTCAGTTTATGAAATAGCTAGAAAAGCTCCAGATGGAGGTTTTTACAATCTGTATAAACAGACTGTATTTTATTTTCTCTCTCTCATACACACACAGGAACACAAAGAAAGAGAGAGAAAGAATATAACTAGAAGTGTATGCAACAGAAAAACAAGAATAGTATAAACCAGTGGGTGTCAAACTCTTTGGTCTAAGGACCCCTTTATACTCTTAAAATTTATTATTGAGAAACCCAAAGATTTTTTGTTTATGTAGGTTATATCTATCAATAATTATCATATTAGAAATTAAAACTGAGAAATGTTTAAAATATTAATTCATTTAAAGTAACAATAAATCTATTACGTTAGCATAAACATTTTTTACAAAAAAATTATTTCAAAAAATTAGTGAGAAAAGTGGCACTGTATTATATTTTTGAAAAATCTTATTTATGTCTGGTTTAACGGAAGATAATTAAAAATCCTTATATCTGCTTCTGCAGTCAATCTGTTGTGATATATTGTTTTTAGTCGAAGCATCTGAAGAAAATCTAGTGTTGCAGACATGCAATTGAAAAACAGAGTATTTCAATAATCTTTTCAAATTATCATGAATAGTCTTTATGACACTACATAAAAATTCAAAGAAAAGTGGTAGTTTTTTGAACTTAAATTGAAATGCAGAAATTAAAAATACTGATGAATTTTTTATACTCTGTTACATTACAATACATTGATCTGTCTTGCACTTTGAATGGATCCATTCTTTACTCATGTATGATTTTGTAACATCATGCACTGGCCACTTAGAAAATACTGGCATGAGTTGTGCACATCTTCCAAATACTGATACGTTTAATATGAAAATATATATAAAATATAAATATTTTAAAGGTCACATTTGTAGTAACATCACTGATCTCATCAGAAAAATGGCTAAATACTGAGAGACTGACAAATTCACAGTGATGGATACAAGTTTTCTGAAATTTTCATTTGCCTGAAAATTCCAGTTTCATCACTGGCCACACATACTGCCAATTGCTTTCCTTGAAGTAACAGGCTCACTTTATTCCTTTTTGAGAAAGTCTGAATAACCATAGTTTGTCAGTTGTTCTTTCCAATAAAAATGGTTTCCATGAAAGAGCAGCTGGTTCAGCTTGCAACCCAAATTGCACAGCTGCTTTTCCTAGAGATATCACTGTACTTCAGCATGAGGTAGAAGTGCTTTATGCCTGTTTCCCATGTTGTCACACAAATTAGTTTAAAAATGTACATGCTCGAGGGTCAGGATTTAATAAAACAATAATTCTTACTGCTTCATCAAGGGCATCCTTAAATGAAACTGGTTCTCCCCTCTTCCCCACAAGTGTGTGGTGATGAAGAACACAGTGACTACTATAACAATTTGATGCCACTGTCTGGATTCATATTTGGGTACCGGCAGTACTAAGTATTGCTTGTGCAACAGTGCAAATGTCAACACACCTAAAAAGGTATATAATATCTTTGTATTGTTATGAAAATAGTTTTGAACTTAAAGACTCCCTGAAAGGTCTCAAGGGCCCTCTGGGGTCTGCAGTCCACACTTTAAAACCACTGATACAGTGCTTTATATAGTGACAGGTAAGTTTCACGTAAGAGAAATACTGCAAGCAAATGATAGCTTCAAAAGTGGCACTAGCGTTCTTTCTTCAAAATAAAAGGTGAGAAAGGTAATACTATGGAATTTTACCATTTTCCTTCTCTGGCAGGACCTGGTCAGGAAAATTCCTGACTCACTCCTGCTGGCTTTAAACTAAAATGTAACATGGTAGACATGAACATTATAGACTAAATCAACACTTTTACATCAGGAAAAGCAGCAAACAGTAAACCAATACTCTCAGAAACACTCGGAACCAACAACAAAGACAAAGCCTCTTAACAGATGGGGTTGGCTACTTAAGTTCAGGAAAATCCTCAGACAGTCCATAAAGGTATTACCAGTTAAGACAAAAAAGAAAAAAATACTAGCCTTCAATACTTTAAAAAATATATAATTGGTATTACTATATATTTTATAGGCATATCTAGAATACAATGTGGGACCTATCCAATATGACATTCATAAAACTGAACAGATTAAGATGAGAGGGCCTTATACTTTTTTTGTCATATGAATGTAGGAATGATACTTGGAAAATACCTATAGAGGAACCTATGCAAAATGTTACGGCTGACTTCATAGGGCAAATACAGAATGACAGGCTAATAATAAGTCAAACTTGAAGACAATCCAAGATAAATGCTATTGGAATCTAGATTTTCATCAACAGTGTGCTGAAAGTTATCAACTGATCTTTGTTACCAAGTTATCAAAACAAACAATATTATTTGACAAACAGAGATGGACATTTCAAATGTCATTAGGCTTCAGCTCTAATTGAAGGTACATATAGAAGTAGAAGAGTCCAATTGTTTCATAAAGCTCAGAGGCCCAAATTTATTACTACTAACACATTAGGCATCTTGTTTTCCTAAGCATCATCTATAAACTCACATTCATTAACTGGCAGTAAGGGTTATATAAGCACTTGGAATAAAAGTTCTTCATGAGTACCGAAGCAATGCTTACTCGTAAAGTACATGATTTGGTTGGAATGGACCTGTGAGAAGAGTTAGTAACAGAATATCTAAACAACTACTCTGTGGAAAACTGAAATAAGATGATGGTAAGTGAAATGAAAGGATAAGTTACACCTTTAAGTGATGCAAACACGGACAGGATAGGAAAGAAAGGCAGAGAGAGATAAACCTAGGAGGTTGCAATCTAAATGGAAGAGTTCTGGGTCCAAACATCAATACCATTTGGTTAAAAATAGGCCCACACACAGAGACAGGTTTTCCAAAGCCCCATAGCTGCTCTCGGGCCCATCTTACATTCATTTGCCCTCTCATACACAGAACGATCACAAAACAATACTTATTTAGGTAAATACATGAATGGGAAATTCTCAACATGATTCTTCCAATTCTGCCCAATTAACTGACCAAAAGAAATAAATCCTCAATGGTACGTAATTGAGAATTTAACGGAAAGGAAAAAGTGATTCACAGTATTTTTTACATGCTCACTCCCATTGTTCAGTGTATTAAGTTTTAGGGAGAAAAAAACCTTACGTCAAATTAAGCATATTCAAGGGGTCTGTAAGTTGTAAAAAGTATAGCCTATCCAAGACAGACCATACCGTGGGGCTGAATTTGATTTTTAAAATCCTTGGGTGCTTTCATTCAGATTAATTAATTCAAACACATTCTAGTATTACACATTTCTCTCAGACTGACTGGATACCCAGCCTTCCCTTGCCGTCATCCTATGATAGTCTTCATGAGGTTTTTAATTCAGGGTCCACAGATGAACATCAGATGACACATGAACCGATCGAAGTTATATGCACATTTACATGCGTGTTTGAGTGCATGCATATATTTCTCACAAATGAGCCCACAGTTTTTCTAAGGTTCTCAATGGGGACCTGGATCATCTAAAAACGGGTAAGCAACCCTGATAAAGGAAACTCCTTTACTGAATGGGAAGCTGATAAGATTATCTTTAAGGTCCTACGAAACTAAGGATGTGATGTCTTAGAGGAGATTGGCAGAAAGCCTTCAGTTCATGTATTTTTGTCACAAACACCAGGGACTATAAAAAGATCAGTCTTATCAGTTTTCCTCTGTTTTTTTAAACAGTTTAGGGTTGAAAGGTTTTGAGTCCCACTCTTCAATCTGCAACTGGAAACTTGTGTGCACCGACCATAAAGCTGTGGTAAGAGAAGCAATAAAATTGATTATCAATTGCTATGTGAAAGTGACCTCATGATTCATAAAAAGGCATGACACTGCTAAATAGCGTCACTAAGCAATTCCAGTTAGTGTCGACAAAGTCTGAAAGCTGGACTGATTTAACTACTAAACAAGCTGTCAAAAGACTTTAATTTTTAACTGGTCCCGTGGACTACGTAGCCTATCTTCTGGGTACCTGAAGCTCTGCTACATATCTTAAATGATGCAGAAATACTCTTACTAGGAAACAGTTCTTCAACGATCTCCTTTTCCGCCCACAGCACACCTAAAGATTTTGCAGAAGATACCAACGCTAAATAGGGCAATCCCTTCAAACCCATTCGGTATCACAGATCTCTCCAGAGGAAGGAAGATGATGAAAAATCCTGATAAGGGACACGTTCACACGTTCAGGGAGAACCAAACATGCTGGGTACATGCTGCCACTGCAATCTTGACTAAACAAATTGCCAAAGTTGAAAAGTTACTTGCTATAGGGTCCTCCACTTCCTCCATAATCATAGGACTGCTGTGACTGGTCATCGATGCTGTAACTTGTCTGGTAGAAATCCGTGTTTAAGTTATCAAAGCCTGACATTGCAAACGATCTGCAACAGAAGAGAAACGGCAAATAGTACTGACGCCCAAGATCTTACTGAATTTGTTCCCGATACTTTCCTTAAGCAAATACTCCCAGAAGGCGGCAAATATTTCTTCCGGAATTTTGGGGAGCAGCGCTGAAGGGTGGATCGGGGGAGGGGGGTGCTGAAGAAATGTCTAGTCGCTAAGTGAAGGCCCGGGAAGACGCCCCCACTTCAAGGAGCTCCTAAGCCTTGGGTTAGGGGCAGGGTCGTGAGAGGAGTGGTTCCACGGGGGTCTAAGACACCAACAACTACAAGGATGATTCCTCATCACGAGACAGGGCTTTACAACAGGCAACGCGACTGCCTCGTTGCAAAGTAAGGCCCGGGCGTGCCAGGAAAGTGCAGACTCCTGGAAGGCCGCGCCTGAGGTGCAGGGGCCGCGTCACAGCAGGGCCTGAAAGGGAGGGGGGTCTGAGCGAAGGGACGCGGGCGCGGCGCCGCACAACGAACCGCGCCGCATAGGTGTGGCGAAAAGCCGAACGGTGTGCCACGGGCCTGGGACACTCACCAAACGCGGAGGCGGTGGCGGCAGTAGCTCCAGCAGCCCCAAATAACCCCCAAACTCAGTTTTAGACCCTGAACTGGACCCGTTGCTACGTGTCACAGGGCCAAAGAACTGCTTCCGGGGCACGGCGGCTCGCGCAGGCGCGGTGACAGATTTTGCGGGCTCGAGTCGGACCCGGGGTAGGCGGGGGAGACGTGATCTGGAATGGAGCATGCGCAGTATCGACCAACTAGTCTCGAGGCGGGCCAATGAGAAGAGGGAAAACTCGGCAGCCTGTTAGCTGCGGAGGCAGAAAGGCGCAGGCGCCGCAGGTGTTTACTGGTTAAGAGAAGGGAGATTTCGTTAGTAGACCGAGGTTCTGGAGGAAAGCGTGTAAGCGCTGCAATGAAACTGACTGAGTCCATCCATTGTCCGCAAACTACATAGCCTCGGGCGCTCTGCATTTACTATGATTCAGGCACTGTGCTAAGGAGTTTATGTGTATTGTTTACTCGTGACAGCCTAATGAGATAGTTACTGTATTACTCTCCTTTTATAGGTGAGGGTGTGAAGTGTTCACTTAGTAACGTTGAGTGCAACATTGCATGACAAGTCTGTACTAGCTATGCTAGCTGCTGAGGGTACTGAGATACTATGGTGACTACAAGCTAGATAGTACTCACCTGGAGTTGGTGGGGAAGGGGTAATCAAACACAAATAAAATTATTACTGATATTCTTAAGTGCCTCATAATTCTTTGAAAGGATGTAATATTCATTTGGGAAGAAGAATCTGGACAGACACTATAAGGTCTGATCAAAAGGGTGAATAGGAGTTAATTAGAGGAAAGGGGGGAAGGGAAAAGGGAAGGGAAAAGGAGGAGAAGAGGTGAATATTTCTGGTAGAGAGAACAGCGTATGCAAGGCCCAGGCTTAGGGGAAATGTGGTGTGAGTTAACGTCTCTCAACCTCTGCACGATTAACAAAGGTGATTGTTGTGGGGGCCTGCCCTGTGCACTGTAAGATGTTAAGCAGCATTCCTGACCTCTACCCACTAGGCGCCAGTAGCACCCTCCACCCACACACCTTGTGACAACTAAAAATGTTCCAGACATTGCAAGATGTCCTTTGGGCAACATCAGAGTTCTGAAATTATTGGTCTAAATGAAGCTAGGGTGATTGAAGGCAAGTTAGGGGAGCCACATAGGAGTTGAGGTTGGAGTTACAGGCAAGGGCCAGGAAATGGAAAGCTTTGTGGGATTCCAGTGTTGGTTCTAAAAGAAAAGAGAAACCACTGAAGGTATGAACTGATGAGTTGCATAATTAGCTTGTGTACTTTTTACAAAGATTGCTCTGGCTGCTGTGTTAAATCACTTTCTCAAAGTGGAGGAATCCCGACCACCCTAACTCCAAATGCCATGGCATTAACCAATGAGCAGAACTGTCTTCGGGGCTTATGGTACTAAAATTTACACTGTGAGTCCTTGCATTATATGCTGGGACCAAAATTCTGTGGTCCTCACAAAAGAAACCAGACCATTGCTCCGGGACCTGTTTCCAAAGGAATAATAAAATTTCACTGGTTAAAACTTTTCTCTCAACACACAAAAACACACACCAAAATGAAACAAACAGGTAAAAATCAAACAATAAAAGCACACTTGCTTCCAAACAAAAATAGCAAAACAATATAACAAAACCAAAAAAACAAGGAGTGTACTCTACAGACAAACATGCAACTACCTTTGAGGTTTTCTACTCCATCAGAGAATTTCTGAAATTGTTCATCCAACTATATAATTTACCACCTTTTACTAATCCTTTTAGAATTTCATTGATGTAGGTACCATCTACACAGCTCTAAGTAGACAGACAATATATCCTGAATTGCTGCAGACAGCCCTGTTGTCCCATTTTATGCCTGTTTAGTCCAGCATAATTATTAATATTGTCCCCTTTTCCTTCTCAAAAATATTGCAGTTTTGTTGATAAAGTCTATGGTTGTACTCTCTTTCAGCTACATTATCCATGAAGCTGTTTCTAGTTATCAACAATATGCAATAATTCATCACTTTGTCTACTTAATAATCTTATGATTGAAAAAAATTGTCTCGCTTGTTTCTTGTGATGATTCCATTTCTTCCAATCCAAAAGAGATATCATTCAAATTTGAAAGAAATACAAGAATGTGAGGGTTACAAATTACCTGCATGGGAGTGAATTGTTGGTTACAGATGCTATTCAAATTCTGCTTCTGTCTGTGAAAGCAATTACTATGTTAACTGGATTTTCTTTCCCCTCCAACCCCTGCCCCAATTGAGAAGCCAAACAAGAAAATTAAGTTACGTGATTAAATCCTCCATACTGTTTGCTTGACTTTGAAATATAAGCCAACGTATCCTGCAGAAGCCACTTGAGGATTTTGAGAATATCAGTCAATTTCATGGCTAATCAGGTAGGCCTTTCTTTTTGGAAACTTCTGTTTTGGTCTTCCTTCCACCTCAGGATAGACTCCAGAAAGTTATGTTAAAGGAAAGTGAAGTACTTGGTAAATGTGCTGACCTCTGTTAAAGTCATTGAGCTGGCTTCATTAGGAATAGAAAGCCTCAGCCAAATCAAGAAATAGTGAAGCATGAAGTGGGCTTGTAACAGCTGCCTAGTCCTTCCCTGGAACCTGGTATGTCAATTACTAGACTTGTAACAAAAAAAGAAAGAACATTCTAATCATGAGTAGTGTCTTTTAGTTAGTTTGGCAATCGTGCCAGTATACACAATAACACTTTTTACACACTTCACAAACACACAAAAACCCCCTCTGTTTTCTTAGAATATCAGTGAAATTGTACTTAAATATTTTAGAGTTGCCTTATTTCCCCTGTTTTATAGTAAATGTCATGAGGAGTCGTGCCAGAAAATTATGGTTTGAACAAGAGAGTTTTCTCCTACTTTCAGCTATATCCACAAGCACCAAATGAGGAGGGGATTTGGCGGCTGTGTGCTCATCATGTCTAGTTCCACAGTGAAACCTGATAATTATGGTTAAAACCAGTATAATTACCAAAGATCTGTTTTCACTATCCCTGAATATTAATTATGTAACCCCATATCCCAAATATGACAATTACATTTCCTCCAAATTTTCCTCTATCTCTTAGAAAAGATTTTCTGCATCAGTTTCTGCTTGTGTTATTTCAATTATTTTACTTTCAACAATATATTGTTACTTTGGGAAGACATTTGCCTGTAACAACAATGGATCCTTTTAGACAGAACTGGTTTTTAAAATGCAAAGAAATTTAACCCTGATTTAATAATTATTCTTGAGACTTTGACTTCAATATCGCAAGTGCCTCATGCTATTGTAAAAAAAAAAAGTCTTTACAAAATAATTTTAAAAGAAATACTGCATTTTCATTGTAGAGATCATAAATACTCTCTTCAATAACAAAAGTATTTCTAATGTTGGATTGAATGGATATTGTGGTTTGGAATAAGAATTTCAATGATAATTCTGGAAGTTCGGTATCTCAAGTAACAGACAGAAGGGAAGATGATGTAAAAAACAGCATCAGAGGACTTGAACTTGGCTCTAGTGATGGCAGAGCCACTTGTGCCAAAGGTGCAAGTCAAGCATTTGAGAATTGTGACGGCTAACACCTGTAAATACAATATTCATCTTATGTGGCTGCTGGAAGATGGTATGAGATAATGCAGGTAAGTATCAATGCCTAAGTATTAAGCACTCACTGAATGGTTGCAGGTATTACCATTGCATAATCTATATAGCTATAGCGGCAATAGGATTTTGTCAGTAACCAAAATAGACGTTTTAGAAACTCCAATAATTGAGCTTGAACAAACTGTCTCTCTTTTTTTTTTAAAGATTTTTATTTTTCCTTTTTCTCCCCGAAGCCCCCGGTACACAGTTGTATATTTTCAGTTGTGGGACCTTCTAGTTGTGGCATGTGGGACGCCACCTCAGCATGGCCTGATGAACGGTGCCACGTCCGCGCCCAGAATTCGAACCGGCAAAACCCTGGGCCGCCGAAGCGGAGTACGCAGCCATGGGGCCAGCCCCTGAACAAACTATTTCTGAGAACAATTACACACATTCACTCTGATGCTTCCCTACAGATTCTATATTATTTTATAATTTGCCTTTTGATACTGTGGAGTGTTTAAAAAAATGCTTTCTTCATCTTCTCAGATTTTCCAAATTGGGCTTGTCTGCATTGTAAATTCTGGTCTCACAAATATCTTTTGATATCAGACACTATTGGTTTAAGAATCACTCATATGGTAGAACAGTTGTACGTGAAAATTATGAATAATGCTACCCATATTTGATTCTCTTGATGGGTTTCATGTTATTTCAAACACTAAAAAAAATGTGTTCATCTTTCTTCTTTATCTCCCTTTCTCTCTTCTCTTCCCCCAACACATGGAATTTAATTTATCAGGAGACAGTGCATAAGATGAATTACACTGTGGAAAACATTTTTATTTGCAAAGAAAGAAAGTGGGAGTGTCCTAGACAAGTTAAACATTTGCCATAAAAATTTTAATGTGTAATAGTTCTTAAAATCATAGAGGGGTCAGGTTTTATAGTACTCAATGAGAGAGCAGCCTAGAAATTACTGTAAGTGTAATTTATCACACTTCTTTTAGGCAGCTTATTTTCCATATTTTTCTATTTGAATTCTTCATGACCCTCTCAGTTACAGACTCTTCAAGCTACCTCTGCTTATCACTGCAGTTTAACTCTGCTGTTATAAAAAGAATGTCATATTAAACTCTATTTTATTAGAACACGGTATTTCCAGGGCTAGATATTGCTGCTCTGGGAGCTTTAAGCCAGATAAATTTAAATACAAGTTTAAAGTATTCTTGTTTTAACTTTATATCTTGCCTTTTGGAGCACACATGCCCAAGCTACAGAATTCTACAGAATTTTTCATTTTGATCTGATTTTCACATCAATGTCTTGATGATACCAGTGTCTCATCTGAGTATAAGATAGGTCACTAGGCATAAGAGAGGTAGACGTGTGGGAGAGCATCCTAGCTTGCAGCCCATGTGCAACAGCATACCCTTTTTGTCATTATTCTTTATTTCTTCAATTCTTTGCTAAATATTGGAGAATGTATGTTCCCTGAGCAGAGAATGGTTACT